CTTGGGGAAATCCTTCGCCATGTGCCCCTCCTTGCTGCATTTGTAGCAAATCCCGAACGACAAGAACCCTCGTGACACTTGCCGCACTTGCACAAGTGTGGCCCTTTTGGTCCCCAGCTTTGGGGATAAGCGGGCTTGGCCCGCTTCGTTGTTGGCTATGACTGCACTGGTCCCCAGTCCCTACACTGGGAATCCTCTTCCTCCTCCCTGGTCTGCAACTCAAGCTCAATCTCCCTCCTCCTGGCATTGTCCTGAACCTCGGCCAATGTCCTATACGATAAGTTCTCCACGAACTGTTGTATGTCCCTCCTCAGTACGCTCAGATATAGACTCACACGTAGCTGCGCAGCGGACACGTGTTCAGGGAAAAAACATCGCCCTCTCATGGAACATCCTCGAAATCTCAATCACTAATTATTTCTTCTTCTTGAGAGACAGAAACTCTTGTGCCAAACATTCCCTCTCCACCGGGGGAACATACTCATCTCGGAACATCTGAACAAACCTCTCCCATGACACTACAACATGATCTGCATGGGTAAAACCAGGTGTCACAAACTTTCACCAGTCCTTCGCTCCGAATCGAAGTTGGTTCAGTGCAAACCGAGCTCACAAGTGTTCGGGGTAGGAACACATGTAAAAACACCCCTCTATATCAGAGATCCACCTCGTTACAGCAATCGGATCCTGCATCCCACCAAACTTTCTTGGCTTCATGTTGCTGAACTCTCGGAATAACAACGAGTCACCTCCTTGAGGCCTAGCAGCGGCCTCAATGATAGTTGCGTATCGCTCATCAAATCTCTCCATCAGGGTGGTCATGATAGACCCAAACATCTCTGTAATCTCTGCTCAGATGGCTGCTGCCACCTCCTCATGGATCATCCCTTGTATCTCCTCATTGCTAATCCCACTGCCTCCGGGGTTGTGGCGTGTACTCACCATGATGTCTCTGAAACACAACACAAAATCATCAGAGACTCGCTCGAGTATTCTCACACTCGATCGCCCGCCCCTACTTTTTCCTAGAATCCTAAGGATTCTTACTTGGACTTCTCATAGATCCGGTGTATCCAGTAGTACAGGCCCAATCCTACCTTCCACATTGCATCTTCATTCACCCCAAGTCCTCCTCCTTGGATCCCAGTTGCAAGTACTTTATACCTCACTAGCTACTCTCATAGTAGACCTCTCATATGCTCGATCCTGCTAAATACTCATACTTAAACAAATCACCGATAGTAGAAATCCCTAGGCTAAGGCATCACAAATCAGGCCATCCTAATCCTAATATATGAAATACATAGCCTATTCTCTAGCATGCATAATATATCATAACTATCTCGTAACACAAAATAAGGGTATTTTAGGAAATCACCGCTCGGGCTCTCGCTGATTGTACACACAGCTCCAGCTCGTTTTCTCACAAATCTTACTCATTTTTAGACAAATTTATCTCTTTTAAAAATTTGTCTCAAATCCTCAGTTTGAGTCCAAACACACCCGAAGGTGCATCCGAATCCCTCAAACCAAGGCTCTGATGCCAACTTGTAACAACGTAAATTATCAAACAAATTTTTCATTTTCAAAACACATTAAATTCTCATTTCACGATCTCAAAAAAAACACAAGTATCTAAAATGTCAATCATTTCACAATGTAAATCACAATCCCAGAATCATAAAAACATATCTCGCTAGTGTGTACAATCATGCTGGTGCCTTGCCGCGATCCATAGAACTACCTGAAATACGTAAGACATAACACAGTAAGCATAAAGCTTAGTGAGTTCCCAAAAATACCACACACAGCTCAACAGCCACTCGATGCTATAACTCAATAAGAGCCTCCGGTCAATGTGTCTCAGTGGGACTCTCCGGTCCCACAACTCAGTTGGACCCACTAGTCCCTCAACTTAGCAACTCAATATAACACACTCTATGCATATCACAAAACAAATAGCTGGATATCCTTAAACACAGCACATACACATAAGACCTTGTGGTCACACATAAGTTACCACTCAAGGTAAGTATAGTGAGAAGACTCACCTCGTAAGCTAGCCAGTGAAAACCTCGTACTCGGAAATCTCAAACTCTACCCACCGGTTTAGCCTCCGCCTAACACATAATAGTTATCCCTAATTAATATTGGCCCTCAAGAAGCTAGAATAACCCTTCTGAAACTCCCAGAAGGGTAAAAGATCATTTTACCCCTCCATAGGTTTAATAGTCCTCACATTTGACCAAACCCTAAAAGTCAACAAAAGTCAACGGTAGGGAGTACGCTGTGCGTAATCGATCTCTACGCTGCACGTACTCGGTTGCCATGCAGGCATCGGGGATGCACGACCCCTATGCCACACGTACTGGATTTACGCCCAATGTACTCTCCATTTTTCTCATTCTCACACATTTGGTCTTAAACAGTTAAGACCTTGGCTCAAATCATAGGTCGAAACTCTCTAATGGCTACTAACCCATAAACAGTGACTTTAAGCCTTTGCATGGCTGAAGTGGTCACCAACCTTAAAATATACACTCTTTTGCTTCAAGTAGCTCATAACTCCTAGTCTCTTGAGTTCAAGATCTCATCAAGTCTCCATCTTTTTGGGACAAAACCCTAAAATACTCAACTAAGATACTCATAACAAAAGAGAGGCAAAGTCTAAAGCTTTATACCTCAACAAGAAGCTCCCCACTTAGATTTGCTCAGATTTAGAAGCTTGGAATCCAACTCCTTCTTCTTCACGGCCTCCTCTTCTCTTCAAAACCACACAAAATCTCTCAAGGCTCAAACACACACATACAAGCTCTAAAACGAGGGTTAGGGTAGTCTTAGGGTTTTCTCTCTAGGAATGGTGGCCAGAAATGATGCCATCATATCCCTTATATAGGGGACTCACCCTAAATTTGGGTTTGCACTCCGAGCCTAGTAGGCCTAACGTACCCACGGGTACGCCCAGGGTACTAGGTGGTCTCCACGTCACATGCAAGCTGACGAGTATGGTAAGTGTACACCTCAGGTACGCCCCGCATACTTGTTTTTCACTCTTTTTTATATTAAGGACCAAAATAGTCAATAGCTCAATAGATCAAGGTTCACAAGGTACACCTGGACTCGGGATATTACATCATGTATCCAACCAATCATCATATCTTTTAACTTCAATATCAATCCTAACTCTTGATCAAGCACAACACGAAAATCATATACATTTATCATGTCAGTTGTACAACATTAATATCAATTAATTAATAATACACATGGTATGTATGAGAGTGAAATCAAAATGATCTACCAATAAGAGTTTTGTACTGCCTTTAATCAAAGTAATTTTGGTAGCCTTAAGGGCAGCTTCCAAAGGATATTCCTTGCTTGTGTCATCTTCCTTTTGAATTTGTGGGAGAGTGTCTAGCAGTTCAAATCAGAAAAGAAAACCAATGAGTGTCATGCAAAATGTTTAAATTAAATTAATTGGCCAAAGCTAGCTTAATTACATCTTGTTCACCAATGCAAAGGTCAAGAAACTCCAAATCAGCAATAGGGACACCAGGTGTATTGAAGTTTGAAATTGTAGCTATTGATTGAGAAGTTGTTACTTTCTAATCATCATAAACTATAAATGTTGCTTGTTATTTAAGGAATCTACGTGGGATTATGTAAATATTAACAAAAGATGAGATCCTCATATACAAGAAACTTATAAAGTTATAATATGCACTGATTAAATAAGAGGAAACTAAGGATTATTTAGAGATGAGCTAATTTCAGTTTATCAAAAATAGAAAGTCCTTCAGATGCTTCTTCATCTAGAACCTGATTCAGATACACCAAGTGTGGTCAATATGTTGACTTTATGGACATAAAATATTGATTAAAAGTACTTAAAAACTTATCATGTGTAATTTTGAAGGAGAAAAGCTCCCCTTTTTCTACTCCCTACATAAAAACTTAATTGGTAAAATATCAAATGTGACCTAAACCCTAAAATCAAAATGCATAGCTGAAAAAAATACACCTGAACGATGAGAAGGTGTGAGAACATATGAAAGATAATGAGCAGAGTCACTCTGGATTACCACCTGAAGTACTCGAAATTATTTGCAATATATTTTAGTTAAAAATCAACAAAAACTAATAGGAACTAAAACATTATGGAAAATATATTAGTTCAAAGTTAACATACAACAAATACATCTTACTAGTAGTTTGCCAACAATAACTAAATGACTAAAATGTTCCCGGAATAAATAATACCCTAATCCAATGAATGTCAATCAAATTGCAACTTATTTTGTCCTCAAACTTTCTGAAGTATTTGTATCATGATTTAGAATCTTGTTCAATACAAAACAAGTGTCTTCGTAGAGTCTTTACCAACTTATCACAAATTATTGTATTCTGAATCAAATAAGTTTTAACTTGCATCTTACCATTGACAACTTCTCGATCTATGAAGTAACTATTTCCTTCTTTTAATACAACCCCATGTTCACAACCCAACTGTAGCACCTCAGATGCACGAGATATGCCTCTTCGAAACTCAATCTACAGTCTGCCTTTTTCATAGCAGGTGCTAGCTTATTCTTTAACACCTCCACATGTATACCAAGACCAGTAACTTGCAAATAGATAAATTTTCTTTTATTATTATCATTATCAATATAATAAAACAATTATTATTATTTTAAACCTTTTCCTGTGTCTTGAGCAATCATTTTCTAGCAATTCTTATTCGTACAACTTAATAAAATGGCAAGGCGTTTCCACCACATGTCACCTCACTTACTTTAAGTTCCTCTTGGTGTGATCTCAAATTTGATCTCACCAGAAAACAAGAGTAACAATTGGCTATGACATTATGACATATTTGAAACTATTTAAACTGATTTTATAACTATATATAATATACTAACCTGATTTATAAATATAATAAGTGTATCTGAACAACATAAAGAATAATGAATCTTACGAAGTGCTCGTGTCATTATTCATGATTATGTCTCAATGATATTGTCACTTATTACACCTGTAATTTCACGTTGTGGGATGAGTGCAGCAACCTATAAAAATAAAGTCAATGAATTTGAAAACCAAGACAACAATTGGACAAAAGATTTGTAGGGGTGAGTTTGATGAAGAAGAGAGGAGGGCATTCATGTCTTTTGCAAATTTTTTTCCTTACACTGTCGATTATGATCACATCAACTGCTCCACTCTGTGTGAGAGCGTCAACAATACTCAATAAGTTTTCAGCATAATTTGGCTGTGAGATGAGATGACTTTTGGTATTTACACCAACTGTTTTAAGCAGCAGTGGGTCCGGTGCATTCTCCACATCCAAGTAAGCACAATAATCTAACAAAAATAACTTCTAATCATCATAAAATATGAAACACCAACATTGTTTATATGTGGAATTAAAGAACATTGGAAAGCACCTCCAAGCTTTTGAGCTTCCTTGATTACATTCAAAGAAGTGTTGTCTTGCCTGATCCCTCTTGACCATCAACCTCAACAATTCCTCCCTATAATGTACAATTTAGCTGTTATTATTCTAGGGTTCACAATGATTAACTATTATGTATGTGTGTAATTTGCTAATACCATATAAGAGGCTACTAATTACCTTTGGTAATCCTCCAATTCCAACAGCAAGATTAGTAGGCTTTGAACTTTTTAGATGATAGGAGACACCAATTCCACCCCCCCCCCCCCATGATTATTGCGAATGACAAGTCAGAAAAGCATGTCAAAGCCAATGATATTTTTGTAGATGAATACCTCCTTTAATAAGCAGTCCAAGCCTTTGACAACTGGTACTTATTTTACTGAAGTAACCTGACACCATAAATACTTTGGTTTAATGAACATTAACATGTATGGCTACAAAACACAATTGCAGTAACTTTTCATGAATGAAAATGAAAATTTCTTGAAACATTCTGACACCACAATTGCTTTTGCATCCTTTTCTTGTCAATATTTCCTTGTATTCTTCCCATGACAGAGTCAAGTGTGCCCTGGATGCATGCAATTAACTGTGAACACACTATTGTGATATAAAACAGAGTCAACATCTCTTTGAATCTGTTTTTTAAACAAAAATAAAGATCCATGCATATGTCGTTTCACTTGGCGGAGAACTATTTCTAGCATGATAGCGACTTGTAGCTTCTCACGAACCATGATGCATGTCCTCTTTTTCTTTTTTGCTTTAAACTAGATTGGCCAAACTACCCCTTTCTTTTAATAGAAAGAAATAAGAACTATAATACCCATCTTGTTTAACTTTAGCCACTTGACATCTACAAAACCTGATTGTTGATAAGGATTACTGAAACATACCATGTATGAAATGATAAAGAATAATAACCCACACAAAAGAAAGAAAGTTATGTTGTAGTTTTAGAGAGGAAATATCATAACTCTACTTTCATTTACCAACTATAATCTCATGACAAAAACTCATTTTAGGAGACCAAAGCTTTACACTTTTGGCATTTTTGATCAAAAGAGATGTCACGTCGTCTTCTAACAAAGATTTTAAAAAAAGCAATACTTGAAAACATCTTTTAACATGGGAAACTAAACAATAAACGACACCTTTTTTGCTCTAAATGATTTTCAATCAGTTTACGACCATTGCAAATGAGTTGTTAGCAAAATAGAAAAAGATTTAAAGTTGGATGTAAAATTCAAACTGACTATATGAAGGGCAATCAAGTTATTTTACCTGGGACTAGGACAGGGACTAAAATTGTTATGAAAATTAAAAGTACAAAATGATTCCTTTAAGAACTTATTGGATGGAATAATATTTTCGATTGATCTATCAATTTCATATATAATTCGATCATATTAAGAAAGGATCAAACATTGATCTCATCTGAAGTAGCAGCAGCAGGGCACAAGTACACAAGTAGCTTTTACTTTCTAAACTCAGGCATGCGATCTGAAAGGCCAAAAACAAGCTTTAGTTGGTTTACTATTTTTATCCTATAAAGTAACTAGTTAGATACAAGGAAAAAGGATTATGTGTTTGTTTAATAAGAGTTTTATGTGGAATCGTGATTTCTTAATCAAGCGATAAATTTGACAAAAAAAAACATTATACCTTTTGATACTGGGCAATAGTAATGGTTGTCACATGATAGTTAAACAAACATTCAAGTTTATATTTTCCAAGCCTTGTTTCCACATACTTGAGTTTTGCAGCCGTCGACCACTAGCAATGAACATATTCCTCTCATGCCTATGTAAGTACTAAACCTAGACTGCAGTCTTGTATAACAAACGTACCCATAATGTCTAAATGTGAACTAAATTCCTAGCCTTCTATATAAGATTTGTGTCACACACTCGGACCCAAATGTGAAATAAATTCCTATCCTTCTTTGTAAGAAGCAATCTCCTTTTTTTAACCAAACCCTTTACATTTCAATTTCTGAATCACTTATCAACGTCGGTGATTCATTATGAGTAAATGTGTGTGAGTTTATTACCTACTTAAAAAAGAATCTTCATAAAAAATCTATCTTCTTGCGACTTTGAAGATGGCTTTAAATCTTTAAGAATTAAGCTCCAATCAGAATTCAAAAAAAAAAAACCAAAATTTAATAAGATGTTGTATCAGAAAAATTAAATAAGTTTAACAAAAGTAGCCAAATTAAATGAAAGAATCAAGATTAAAGACAAGATTAGTGGTCGATTATGGATTTACCTTGTTCATCATAAAGAAGATCGAGTTTTGTTAAGCGAGAAGTGAAAGGGATGATCCCTCGGATTTCGTGTTGGCTCATGTAATTCAATGTCGTGGAAGTTAAAACTGGGGGAAATTTCAGTCCGGCGTAGATTTCATGTTGATCACTGAAAGCGCCTCCACCGAATTTTTGTAACTTTACTGTATATTTGAAGAAATCGGAGAGGTCTGTGAGATCGCATTCGCTGATTTTCACTGATACTAATGATTCCGTGCAATTTTTTTGCGAAGAGTTCTTGATCTTTGAAGTCGAACTTGACTAGATTTGTCATGTAGAAGTTTAACAATTCCATGGCTGTGTTACGAAAAGCTAGCTCACATAACCATTCGCCGTCCTTTTCAACGATTAAGCTCTCTTGTAGATATAGAATTCTCAAATTGTTACACAGATAATCGATTTGGAGCAATGGCCAGAGAGCACCGAGAGATTTTCTTTGTTGAAAAAAGCCTTAGCTTGCTAGAATGGTCCTTTGATTTTGTGGAATTTATTGCTGATATTTTAATGAAAACGCGTGTTTCTTTAAAAAAAAAATTATAAAACAACATGCTGAGATGACACACATTTATAAAAAGCACCCTCTGTGTTTTTTTGACACCAATTTTAGGGCCCACAAAAATACGCGTCCTAAATCCTTTAATTTTCTCCAGAGATGAGATTATTTTTAGGTCGGACACTTTTGCGTATCATAAATCAATGTGTGTCGTAAATTGCATGTCATCAAAGGTCTATTTTCTAGTAGTGTTGAAAATATTTGAAATGGTTTAAAAGATGTTAAACATTATTTAAACACTATGTCGTTATAATAAATAATGATTTTTTTTAAAAAGAATAAAATCGATTTATTGCGATATAACAACAAATAATAAAACTAGTGATTATTTTTTGCGTCAGAACTTAATATATGATATTAGTGTTTTAAACTTAACGTAACATGTTGATATTATATTTTATGCATGCTAAATGAGATTTAAAACATAAGTATCATCACCCAAGTTTTGGTTTATTAAAATATGACTTTTCTCATAAGATGCATAAAATTAAATTTATAAAATAAAATGAGTTTATTCTACAAATTCATGAAGTCATAAGTTTTTTAATTGTTAAAAGGAAGTTAAAAATAGTGATTTTATAACTCATCTAAAATTCCAAGTCTGTATAAAATAAAGTTTTATTAAGACTATTACCGATTCTTATCATTTGAGGGTTTTAGTGTCACGGGTTCACCTGGTCCTAGGATTGGATTTTGATGTTCGGGGTAGTTTTGTAGTTTCTGGTTTCTAAAGGGTGACCTTGTTGCTGGTTAGTTACAATGCTACAAGTTGTTTGAAATAGGATGACTTGACTGGAATCTTATGTGATAAAGGTCACCTAAGCATGAAAGGTCTGAGGCATATATGGGATAAACATGCCAAGCTAAGCAATAGTTGTTTAGGATCCCATAATCTAGGAGTTATATCATATGCAATTGGTAATCGCTAACTACCGAGTTTGATTAAGTTTTATGGGATAAAGGTCAGCTAACCATTTACTTGTTCCGTTACTTGGATCCTAGACAATAATAAATTAATGTTATAAGAAACAATAAAATGTATTAATTTTTAAAGACTAAAAATTGAAAATACTAAATGAAACTTTGTTAAATCCTGTTGATAATTGTTAATAGTTTTACGCCCTGCAAAACCTCTCTCTTGTTAAGTTTCAAGAGACAGTAACATTTGATGGATATAATTTATATAATTCGTATAATATCTTGAAGTTCTACCTTTAAGATAAATAGAAATTATATATACTGAATGATCCCATACCTGAATAACCTATGCAACCAATTACTCTGACAATGATACTTTGATAGAAGAATTATTGTGATGACGTATCTCACATTATACTGAAGAAATTAACCATGACTTGCAAAGAGTCTTGGACAATTATGAAACTTATCAGATGTCTCATCAAGTAAAGCAAATATTCAATCAAAACACTAGAAACAACTTCAAGTCTATTCAAGCATTGAATAAAAGGAAATCTAAGAGATTGTGCACTCATATAGACTTATAGTTCAGTTAAGGGAAATACATCATAAACCCATAAATCAAGAAAGGACCAAATTATTAGTGTTGTTTCTATTGTAGAAGAAACTGAACACTAAAGGAGGAATTGCTCCTATCATCTCATCAAGCTGAAGAAGTCTTTCTTGGACGAGATTTCAGATATCTTTATGATAGAACTATTTATTTTTCTATCATTCACTTGAGTATGTAATACTTCATGTGACACCAATAATTGATATTATGTGTTGATGATTGGAAGAAATAATCAATTGATTACAAACGAATGGTATTTCGTATTAAAGATATAACAAGTGTTGTTATAGTATTTTATTTAAACAATAGAAGTTCTATTCCTATCCTTATAAGGACATGTAACAGTTGTAATTTATGAATAAATCTAGATTTACTTATCGTTTAATGGATGTTCACATTCATGTTCTAAAACAATGTATTTTGTATTAAAGAGTATGTTCTCATAATGTTATTTATGAAGTAAATCTATAATCTTTCATTAAAGTGATAGTTCTGATCATAAGACCTATATAATAAAATGATATTTGATTGGAACTTATCTATGTCATAATCATCATGACAATGTAAATAAGAAATGCATATACCAACCTCAAAAGGATGGAATTTTTGAAGGCAACTGAGATTGATTCATTTGATATATGTGAATCATATTTATATGGGAAGAC